CCTGGCAACTTCCTAAGACCCCTAGATCCACCACAAAAGTTTGCAAGCTACAGGCGGGTGGTGGCTGGCCTTGGTGTACCCTGAAACTTTTGCTCAGTGGCCTCAGACCTGGCAGTGGCACCACGTACAAATCTGTATTAACCTGGTGAACACCACTTGCCCCTACCTATTGACTCACTGAGAACCTGCCTCAATGCAACTTGCTTACTGCCTTGGGCTGTTTCAGAGGCTGAGCCTAATGGGAAGCTGGCAGGCAGAGGTGAATGTTGGGGTAGCTTGCACCTTTTTGCTGATCTGCTCCAGGCCCAGTACTGGTTGTAACTGGCCTTAGTATGCAGATCGGTCTCTTCCATGTGCACCCAGGCCCAGCAGAGGCAGCCACCAACAGTGAGTTGATTTGTAGCTCCAACTAGGTAGCCCAAGGCTGGTCACAGGCTGCATCTAACATTGACTGCACTGGAGTCTCTCCCAAAAGGCTACAAAACCAATACACCAAGTGGCTGGCTTAAGACCACATCAGAATACAACCCCATTAGCTGCAGTAGTGGTACACCCAAGGGAAGTCTTGACAGGCACCAGATCCTGCTGGTGCAAATTCCACTTTGTGAGGTCTGCCCGAGCAGAGCAGTTTATACACTGTGTTCTGTGTCAGTTCTCACAGTCGGCTAGCCTGAGGGTCAGCCCTACTCACAGATGAAGCAATGGCAGTCAAGACTCAACTACCACAGGAGGGTTCACATAACCCACATAAAGGACACTCCTGCAACACACTTTTCAGGTGATCAGGTAGACTGCACCACTGACCCCACAGAACACTTACTACATAAAGCCACTTTACCAAGACTGGGAGACATAGTAGATTGATCTAATACATAGAAAGAACCACAGGGATGCAGCCAAAATAAGGAGACAAAGAAACATGTTCCAAATAAAAGAACAGGAGAAATCTCCAGGAAAAGAACTAAACAAAATGGAGTCAAGCAGTCTACCAGATGCAGAGTTCAAAACACTGGTTATAAAGATGTTCAAGGAACTTAGTGAGAACTTCAACAGCATAAAAATGGAAATTGTAACTATAAAAAAGAATAGTCAGAAATAAGAATACAATATCTGAAATTAAAAATACACTAGAAGGAATCAAGGCAGGTTAAATGAAACAAAAGATCGAATCAGCAATTTGGAAGACAAGGTAGCAGAAAACACTTGATCAGAACAACAAAAAAAGAAAAATGAGGATAGTTTAAGGAACCTCTGGGACAATATCCACATCGTAGGGGTACCTGAAGGAGAAAAGAGAGAGCAAGGGATTCAGAACGTGTTTAAAGAAATTATGACTGAGCCCTGGCCGGTTTGGCTCAGTGGTTAGAGTGTCGGCTGTGGTTCAGAGAGACCAAGGTTCGGTTCCCACTAAGGGCACGTACCTCGGTTACAGTTTGTCCCTGGCCTCGGTTGGGGTCATGTGAGTGGCAGCCAGTTGATGTGACTCTCTCACATAGGTGTTTCTGTATCTTCCTCCCTCTCTCCCTCTCGCTCTAAGTGAAGATGAATGCAAAAGTGTCCTCAGGTAAGGATTAAAAAAAACAATGACTGAAAACCTCCCTAACATGATGAAGGAAATAAACACACAAGTTCAGGAAGCACAGAGTTCCAAATGATGAACCAAAAGGGCCCACACCAAGACACATCATAATTAAAATGGCAAAGCTCGAAGACAAGTGAAAATCTTAAAAGCAGCAAGATAAAAGCAGTTGGTTACCTAGAAGGGAGCTCCCATAAGGCTATGAGATGATTTCTCAACAGAAACTTTTCTAGCCAGAAGGGAGTGGCAAGAAATATTCTAAGTAATGAAAAGCAAGGAGCTACAACCAAGACTACTCTACCCAGCAAGGCTATAGTTTCAAATTCAAGGAAAAATAAAGAGTTTTCCAAACAAGATAAAGCTAAGGAAGTTAATGAAAAAAAAACAAAAACAAATCAGTATTGCAAGAAATGTAAAACAGACTTCTTTAAGAAAAATAAAGAGGAGCATAAACATAAATAATAAAATGTAAATAAATATATAACTATCAATAATTACTTTAAATGCAAATGGATTAAATACTTCAATTAAAAGACATAGTTAAGACTCAACTACAACAGGAAGGTTCACATAACCAACATAAGGGACAATAGCCAAGACGTGGAAGCTATTGGCTATTGTAAATAATGCTCTAATGAACATATGGCTACATATATTCTTTCAAAACATATAACCAGAAGTGGAATTACTGGGTCATAAGGTAGTTCAATTTTTACTTTTTGAGGAACCTCCATACTGTTATCACAGTGGCTGTACCAATCTGCATTCCCACCAAGTGTGCACAAGGGTTCCCTACATAGTCTGTCTACAAGAGACTCAGTTCAGATCAAAAGACACATACAAACTGAAAGGAAAGAGATGGAAAAAGATATTTCATAAAGCCCTGGCCGGTTTGGCTCAGTGGTTAGAGAGTCGGCCCTAGGACCAATGAGTCGCGGGTTCAATTCCGGTCAAGGGCATATACCTCGGTTGTGATTCATCCCCGGCCTGGTTGGAGTCATGTGGGAGGCAGCCACTTGATGTGTTCCTTTCATGTTGTTGTTTCTCTCTCTCTCTCTCCCTCCCACTCTATCTGAACAAAAATAGAAGAATATCCTCGGGTGAGGATAAAAAAGAAAAGATATTGCATAAAAATGGAAACAAAAAAAGCTGAGGTAGCAATACTTAGATCAGACAAAACAGACATAAAAACAAAGTCTATAATAAGGACCTTAAAACAAAGGCTATAATAAGAGACAAAGAATGTCCTTGCAGAATGATAAAGGGATTGATTCAGTAAGAGGAATTAACCCTTGTCAATATTTATGCACCCAACATAAACATATAAACACTTAAATATATAAAGCAAATATAGATGAACATAAACGGTGAGATGGACAGTAACACAGTCATGTAGGGGACATTAACACCCCACTGATATTGGTGGATAGCTCTTCCAGACAAAATCAACAGGAAATAGCAGTCTTGAATAAGACATTAGGATTTAATTGATATTTTCAGAGCATTTCACCCCAAAGCCACAGAATATTTTCCAGGATATACCACATTAAACCACAAAAATAAGTTTCAATAAATTTAAGAAGATTGAAATCATATCAGTTTTTTTTTTACCACAATGGTGTGATACCAGAAATTAATTCCAAAATAAGAAACCCTTAAAAACCCAAACACAGGGAGGCTAAATAACATGTTACAGAACAATTAGTGGGTTAATAATGAGATCAAGGAAAAAATGAAAAAAAACCTGAGACAAATGAAAATGAAAACACAACCCAAAAAATCTATGGGACAAGCCAACAGCAGTCTTAAGAGGCAAATCATAGCATTACCAGCCTCAAGAAACAAGAAAAATCACAAATAAACTATTTAGATTTGCACCTAAAGGAACTAGCAAAAGAACCACAAAAAGCCCAAAGTGAGTGGACAAAAATAAGAATCAGAGCATAAACAAACAGCTTATAAAATAAAATAGAGTTTAAAAAATACAAAATTCAATGAAAGCAAGAGTTGGTTCTTTGAATAGATAAACAATAGTAATAACCCTTTAACCAGACTCCTCAAGAAAAGGAGAGAGGACAAAAATAAATAAAATCAGAAATAAAAGAGAAGTACTGTTAGTACTGACTCCATACTGTTAGTAATATATATTTTTCTGACATATCTTTTTTGGCAAGGGAAACAAATGGAAAGATTTTTACCGAAGTAAAAAGGGTTAGCCCAGCAAAGACAACCTACTGAAGGGAGGAAGGTATTGGCCAATGATACATCCAGTAAGGGGACAATATCCAAAATTTATTTAAAAAAACGTATACAACCTCAACACCAAGATAAACAAACAATTCAATTAAAATGTGGGCAGAGGACCTGAATAGACACTTCTCCAAAGAGGACATACAGATGTTAAATAGACATATGAAAAGATGCTTAATGTCACTAAACATTAGAAATAAATGCAAATCAAAAAGCTCAACGGTATAGCACCTCACACCTGTCAGAATGGCTTCCAGTAAATCACCGAACAGCAGGTGCTGGCGAGAACAGAGAGAAACGGGAACCCTGTGCACAGCTGGTGGGAATGCAGATTAGTACAGCCACTGCGAGAACAGTATGGAGGTTCCTCAAAAAGTAGAACTTGAACTGCCTTATGACCCAGGAATTCCACTTCTGGGCATATATTTTGAAAGAATATATGCAGCCCTGTGTTCATTGCAGCATTACTCACAATAGCCAAGACATGGAAGCAGCCTACGTGTCCATCAATAGTTACACAAATGTCTAACCACTATGTTGTGCACCTAAAATTAATATAATATTGTATGTCAACTATAATTGCAAAACAAAAATATTCTAAAAAAGATTTATATTCTAGAGATATCCAAACTGGTTTGGTAAATTCAGAACATTCTGGTGACGTTTCTGCATATTATCAAGCACACGACTGCCGCCTTGTATACTGTTATCATGCATTACGAGGAACCAGTTCCTTACTTCCTCCATCTGCGTTTTAAAGAGAAACTCTCATGTATTCCGCCATTATTCCTGGTTACTGTTCTTCATCCCCATGAGGCTTAAATGGCTGGCTGTCCTTCAAGCTATGTCAGTCTAAGCGTGTGACAGGTGGGTGCCTGGGATAAGTGGATGAAATGCAAGTGGCTAAGCTCAGAGTATCAAGTAGCATGATGGCACCTGTGCTGGATGGGCAACATACAAGCATCTAAGGTTTTCCGTCTTCTCTTCAAAATAAGAGAAGTAAGGAAGATTTTGTGATAACAGCATTATGTGGTATATATTTAGAAATACAGAAAATGTGGGGAAAGCACAATGTCTAAGGCATGCCACTAACTAATTGTGCTACCTTCAACAAATCAATCTCTGCCTGTCCTAGACTCCTCCCCATTCACGTCAGAGAATACCTTTGGTGTTTCGGCCTCTCTGAGAAACAGCATCTTGTAATAGGTCTTCCATGTCTCGTAAAGTATGCAAAGCAAAGAATAAGTCAAGCAAAGGCATTTTTCTAACTTTTTTCTCTCTTTTCTCCCCAGACTATGTCAGAGAGTCACGATGAATTTGCATAATAACAATACAACTTTGCCGTTGTTGCCAAACGTCAGCTCTTTCTGGATACCTGGCTCCCCAGACGCAGGGCTGCCCCCAGGAACAGTCACTCGTTTCGGCAGTAACAACATTTCTCGAGCAGCTGGGAATTTCTCTCCTCCAAATGGCACCATCAGTGACCCTCTGGGAGGTCATACCATCTGGCAGGTGGTCTTCATTGCATTCTTAACAGGGATCCTGGCCCTGGTGACCATCATTGGCAATATCCTAGTGATAGTAGCATTTAAGGTCAACAAGCAGCTGAAGACGATCAATAACTACTTCCTTTTAAGTCTGGCCTGCGCTGATCTGATTATCGGGGTCATTTCGATGAATCTGTTTACTACCTACATCATCATGAACCGATGGGCTTTAGGGAACTTGGCCTGTGACCTCTGGCTTTCCATTGACTATGTGGCTAGCAATGCCTCCGTCATGAATCTTCTGGTGATTAGCTTTGACAGGTACTTTTCCATCACAAGGCCGCTCACGTACCGGGCCAAAAGAACAACAAAGAGAGCCGGCGTGATGATAGGGCTGGCTTGGGTCATATCCTTTGTCCTTTGGGCCCCTGCCATCCTGTTCTGGCAGTACTTCGTTGGGAAGAGAACTGTGCCCCCAGGCGAGTGCTACATCCAGTTCCTCAGTGAGCCCACCATCACCTTTGGCACCGCCATCGCTGCCTTTTATATGCCCGTCACCATTATGACTATTTTGTACTGGAGGATCTATAAGGAAACTGAAAAACGTACCAAAGAGCTTGCTGGGCTGCAGGCCTCTGGGACAGAAGCAGAGGCAGAAAACTTCGTGCAGCCCACGGGCAGTTCTCGAAGCTGCAGCAGCTATGAGCTTCAACAGCAAAGCATGCAGCACTCGGCCAGGGCCAAGGACGGCTGCTGCAGCTTCTGGTTCCCGGCCAAGCCCTGGAAGCCCAGTGCTGAGCACATAGACCAAGACCACAGCAGCAGCGACAGCTGGAATAACGACGCTGCTGCCTCCCTGGAAAACTCCGCGTCCTCTGATGAGGACGACATCGGCTCGGAGACCAGAGCCATCTACTCCATTGTGCTCAAGCTCCCAGGTCACAGCACGCTCCTCAACTCCACCAAGTTACCCTCATCAGATAAGCTGCAGGTGCCAGACAAAGAGCTGGGGACAGGGGACTTGGAGAGGAAGGCCAGCAAGCTGCAGGCCCAGAAGAGCATGGACGATGGAGGCAGATTTCAGAAAAGCTTCTCCAAGCTTCCCATCAAGTTAGAGTCAGCCGTGGACACAGCCAAGACCTCTGAGGTCAACTCCTCAGTGGATAAGACCACGACCACTCTACCTCTGTCCTTCAAGGAGGCCACTCTGGCCAAGAGGTTTGCTCTGAAGACCAGAAGTCAGATCACTAAGCGCAAACGGATGTCACTCATCAAGGAGAAGAAAGCAGCCCAGACCCTCAGCGCCATCTTGCTTGCCTTCATCATCACCTGGACCCCCTACAATATTATGGTTCTGGTGAACACCTTTTGTGACAGCTGCGTCCCCAAAACCTATTGGAATCTGGGCTATTGGCTGTGCTACATCAACAGCACCGTGAACCCTGTGTGCTATGCCCTGTGCAACAAGACCTTCCGCACCACTTTCAAGATGCTGCTGCTGTGTCAGTGTGACAAGAGGAAGAGGCGCCGGCAGCAGTATCAGCAGAGACAGTCCGTGACTTTCCACAAGCGCCTGCCGGAGCAGGACGTGTAGAACGAGGTTTGTCGATAGCAGTGACCAAACGCACACACCAACCCGCACGCCTCATCAGGGAGTCAGGTGAGGGGTGGGTGACCTCTGGTGACGATAAAAATGTTCTCATCACTCAGATGTGACAGAAGCTGCCTGTTTACTGAACCATTGGATAAACCCACTTTAATATAAAAAGTCAAATATCAATTCAGAAAAAAAGCGTATTACTGAATATAAAGAAATTTATTCTAAAAGAGACTTCAAGTGTTTTTTCTTAAAGATGAAAAAATGATTTCACAGCAGTTATACACCCAAACTGACCTGCTTGGTTTTCCGAATTTCCATGCGTTCTGGAGTCTCGGTGAGCACACGCAGCCCCAGATGCCATGCTCTCCACGAGGGTCTCCGAGTTGGTTCAGCCCCTCGTGGAAAGCATCAGGCTGGTGAATCCACGGCTCTAAACGTGTTCCATACGTTGCTAAGCTGAACCTTCTTGTCCCAGTAGAGCTTTCAGACTTCTTTTTGGTGTGTTGTTAAACTGTATCTGTGGACTTGCTTTTTGATTCCTGCAAAGTACTGTTTGGTGCGGTTCAAGTTTTGTACAAATAAAAATATATAAGTATATGTGCGTGTGTGTGTGTGAGTTCCACATACACACACACAATGTATATAATACAATGGGAATCACTGAACTGGCAAATTAGTCCTACGACATGTGCTTTCAGTACTTTGGTAACTGAAGTTCTCCAGGGTCCTAACATAACATCAAGTGAAATAAGCCCCGTGTAATGTTCTCAAAACCCAGGGCTGTTTTACAAAAGCCGCCCTGCAGAGTACACAGCGGAGAACAGCCAGGCCCTCTGGCAGGTCTGGGCAGAGTGGACAGCCTTGTGATCAAGGTCAAGCACCATGACTTGACCAGACTCGGGTGAACCATCTCCCTGTTGATACCCTCAGCAGAGCTGAGTCAGATCGGGCCCCTGTGAGCTCAGACAGTGAATCCATCCACATGTTTGAATTTGTCCAGTTCTGAGTGTGTCCAAACAGAACTTCTGCTACCTGAACTGACATCCCAGGCTAGTGTCACATTTGCAGGCCGTACACAGCAGTACCTGTGGAGAAGCAAAGACCCTGTGGGGGGGATGACGGCGAAGCTGGCATCATCTCAGTGAAAACTTAGCCCTTCTTACTTAGCTCTGACCAGTGCTTCCCGGTCTTTATCTCGTACCTTCGCCTGGTTGGGGGCTTAGGAAGCCACATGTCCTCTGAAGAAAGAATTACACTTTGAAAAGTAATGCTTCACATGGATTTTTTAAATGATTTTTTTATTCTTCTCTGAATTGACCCAAATATTAAGTGTCCTGTTTGGGGGGGGGGGGCGGGGGGGAGGCGTACTGCAGGGGGGCGCTTCGTTGCTGCTGTAACTGTGGGGTCCTTTGTCTTCCTTCCTGGGCTGGGGGGAGGGGTGCGGGAAGGGGGGCAGCCCCTGTGGGCGGGCGGAGTAGGGTGCGAGCTGCCTTTGCTCCGAGTGAGCTGGTGTTTACAGGTGACTGGGACAACAGTGCACGTGTCTTAGTGGTGTCTGTGTTTCTGAACTATTTAATTTTGTGTTATGTTTATATGAAGAAATATTTATGCATCCTTCGCCAAGTGTCTGTTTACTGTGATAAATGTGACTCTGCAGTCTCAGCTGTGGTACCTTGAAAGTGGTTCTCCAGGTCCACGGGGCACTGGGCAGAGTACCTTTAGCTTCGTGTGGCTCAGAAGAAAATGTCATTCTGTGGGCGTCAGCAAGAACCTAGCTCGTTCTAGGAAATAAAAAGTTCGCTGTGACTTCAACATGAATGTTTAAAACCTCTCGTTAGTGCAACTTGACCAGGACTGGACAAAGCACTCTCTACCCTGGTGTTCTACCAGGGAGAGAAAAAAGCAAAGCAGTGTAATGGAAAGATTTTGGGGGGCCCACATTTAACCAAAGAACAAGAAAAACCAGAAACTATTTTCTAACGTGTGTAGCAAACTGTAGATGTTATGCTACCCACCTGTGAAACGCCCGGGGGCGACTGCATCTGTAGTTAACCATCCCGGCTGGCCTGGCACCAAGAAACACTTCAGTGATTCCCATCATTCCCGAAACTCCATTTCCAACAATCCCAAGATGAACAATTAGAGAGAATTAAACTTAAGAAATGGAGAAATCCTCAGATGTGGAAGAACTGCAAAGGTTAATAACAATTCTTTTTTTTTTTTTTCCCAATATGTTTTTATTGATTTTAGAGAGAGGAAGGGAGCAAGTGAGAGAGAAACATCCATGAGAGAAAGAAACATGGGTCAGCTGCCTCCTGCACGCCCCCTACTGGGGATTGAGCCGCAGCCCAGGCTGTGCCAAGACCGGGAAAGGGACCTGCAACTTGAGTGGGACAATGTTCAGCCCACTGAGCCACACCGGCCGGGCTGGTAACAATTCTTAAGCGTGACTATGTCCTGCCCTTTGTCCTGTTATGAGACTGGCAACAGCAGAGAATTCCAGGACTAGCCCTCCTTTTCTGTTCCTGGTTTAATCAAAGAACGTTTTCACATCTCTTGCAGAGAACAGCAGCCTTAGACTACTGACTGTGCTTACAGAAAGGTGTGTCCAACTTTTTGGTCGTTCACAGAGAAGGAAAATAAGAAAAACACACTATTTTTAATATGGACAATTTAGAAGGGAAATCAAAGATGTAGTAAGTGTTTGTAAGCAGACTTAGTCGCTCCTGCGTTTCTCAAAGGGCTGCCATTGGAGAAGGTGATCAGCACTTGCAAAAGATCGCACTGTCTTCATCCCAGACAGGAAGTCAAGCTATTTTGTGCCGTAGGAATGAGCTTTGAAGAGCTTTCACGATTGCTCACTTTATTTAAAAGAGCAAAATACTCAAACCTAAAATAAACCGCACATGGACACCCCTCCCGACACACGCACATGCACGCACACGCGCGCACACACACACACACACACACACACACATGCAGTTCCCGTTCTCGGTCCTCCAGGCCTTGCTAGATGTACTGGAGAAGTGGGCTGTCTCTTCTCTGCACCACCTCTCCACGGTCTCTCTGCTCGTTCTGCACATGGTCCTGAACCACCCTTGTCTTAAAGCCAGCCTTGACTCTCTAATGATGTTCTATTTCTGTCCCTTCTCGTGTATAATCGTCCTGGACTCGGACAGAAGGAACCGAGCAGGGGCATTCGCAGCTGCGCAGGTGGAGACCTGGAGCAGGCCGTGTCGCTGTCAGGGGCAGGGGGCACGCTCACTGCCCCGGAGGCATGGGAGCCCCGAGTGCTGACTGTGAGGAGCAGGCCGAGCTCTCATGCAACAGAGGCCGCATCAGGAGGGAAGAAGGAAGCCCAGCTCCGGGGGCAGAAGCCGGCTGTGGACAACAGGGAGGCAGAGATGGAGCCTGGGGACCATCCAGTGTCCTGTACTCGTGTGAGTAGAGAGGAGTCTCAGATGGGGACACAGCACTGAGAGAGTGGACTGTCCATCACAGCAGCTTCAGAGGATGGTATCACCAAGAAGCACTGGACTTAGGAGGAGAAAGCTTGAGCTCTCAACCCAGTTCTGTGACCATGTAGTCACACGTCCCCTGCCACACGTGACATTTCCCTGTACACTCTGGCTTGTCTTCCTGTGCACAAGTTAATCAAGAACACCGAAGCCCATCTGATTTGCCTCGGGTAGTCAGTAGGTCAAAACTGAGGCTCAGTGATCAATGCAAAATGCTATATCTGGTGAAATGTGAACTTTCCTGACTATGAAATCGGGTGTCACTTAACAATGAAGTTACGTTCTGGGAAGTGTGTCATCAGGTGATTTTGTTATTGTGTGAACATCACAGAGCGCACACTCACACACAGATGGTAGAGCCTACTGCACACCTGGACTGCACGGGGCAGTGTAGCATGTCACCCTACTGACCACTGGAGGCCATCAGGGCACAATGCAAGTATCTGTGTATAGAAATATGTCTAAACATAGAAAAGTTAGAGTGGATGACATTGGTCTGCACACTCAAAATTGAGGTGCTGTGAGTGGGAGGGAATCTGTTGCCAGACCCCACAGATATTGCTTCCATCTGAGAAACAAAAAGTCCCCCAGGAACCACAAGTGCTTCCATTTGTAACAGAAACTTCAGCTCCATGATAATCTTATGTGAATATCGTCGCAAATGTGGTCCATCATGCACACCGTTTGGTAGGTGGCGTGTGACTCTGTGTATACCCATCAGAGTTGTGTATTTCAATACAGCAAAATCGGAGGAGCGCTCATGTTTTGTTGGTAAACCTGGAATTATATTATTTAAAATGCCACTTCAGTCTGGGGCCACCGGAGGGCGACACCCTAACAGATAGAGTCACTGGGTAGTTGGTGTTTGTTTTGGTTTTGCAGTCTCTTTTCTCATGATGGAACTGAAACTGTGGAATGCAGCACCCAACGCAGTTACCCTTTTTCAACCTCACGACGCACCTCTGTCACTTCCTGTAAGTGCTTTTCGCAAATGTCAAGTGCAGCAAACACGGTTGGTCCGTCGTGTACGTGCCAGCCCGTAATAGGTTCAAGGGCAATGTCACTACTTCCCTTCCTAGGTTTAGGTCATGCTCCCTCGCCTGGTGCTTTCGTGACACTATTTAATAGTTGTTCAGCCGCTTCCATAATCAATGCTGTGTAATACTCCAAACCGCAGAGACTGGTTTCAGGGACAGAAACCCTCACGCTCTTTAAAATTGGAGAGTTCTATTTTCTTTTTCTGGCGTTAGTGTTACTGCTGAGAAAGGAGGCTCATGTTGAGACAATAAAAATGAATAAGATCAGTTTCTTTCATAAAGTGAGTATACTACGCCTGAGTCTATAACTGCACAGCGCCTATGGACTCGCTCCAAAACGGGCCAGTGGTGGTGGTGTTAGTGGGGCACACGTTACATTCACAGCTCCCCTCAGAGACGGACACTACTCTCGGACATAAGCAGGTGGACACCCAAATGCTTCAGTAAAATGTTAGGCCTGTGGTTGCTCTAGTAAGAAACGCAGAAACGTGGCCCCGAGTTCTGACCCCGCCGCTCTGGCCTTGGCTGGCGGCGTCCCGGCTACCTCCTGGAGAGGCGAGGTGGCTCAGCTCTCGGGTGCACTAGACCTTCTGCAGGAAAGACAGATGGAAAAGGATGCCCGACCCGCCAGTACGGAGAAATATTAATAACATTTTCCTCACCCAAAGTAGAATGCAGTAATCCCATCTTAAACTCAAAAGATTGCCCCAGGATATTAGTTTATTAATTGTTCTTTCTTTAAGTCCAAAATACTTAACAATTCTGGAATTTATATAGCAAACCCCAGACTATTTTTATCCTGAATTCTGTGAGTCCATTGATAATAGGAAGTGGGTCTTATTTATCCTTTGGCTGACACTCTTAATTAATATAACTAATATTTATCAAAACTGTGTGCACATCAGTGCCCGTGTGGCTACTGTCGTCAGTGGGCATGGTACTAGAAAAGTAACTTAAAGGAAAATGGTCTATTAGTCTGATG